CGCCATGTTGGGTGTGGGCAGGAGGAAGCCATGTTGGGAGGCGCCATGTTGGGTGTGGGCAGGGGAAGCCATGTTGGGAGGCGCCATGTTGGGTGTGGGCAGGAGGAAGCCGCAGAATCTCCAAATATTCACATCTAAATATTGGATTTTTTTGGTGATATCTCCAAATATTCACATCCACTTATTGGATTTTTTTGGAATTATCTCCAAATATTCGCATCCAATTGTTAGATTTTTTTTTTTTAGGGGGGGGTGTTATCTCCAAATATTCACGTCCAATTACTGGATTTTTTGGAGGATATCTGCAAATACTAACATCCACTGATTGGATTTTTATATCCGAATGTTGGATTTTTTTTGGGATATCTCCAAATATTCACATCCAATCATCGGATTTTTCTATCCAAATATTGGATTGTTATATCCAAGTATTGGATTTTTGGGAGGGTTATCTCCAAATATTCACGTCCAAGTATTGGATTTTTTGGGGATATCTCCAAATATTCACATCCAAATATTGGATTTTTTGGGGGGATACCTGCAAATACTGACATCCGCTGATTGGATTTTTGTATCCAAATGTTGGATTTTTGGGGGGATTATATCCAAATATTCACACCCAAACATCGGATATTTCCAGACAGCGAATGAGACCTTTTATTTTCCCAGGAATATTCGCAATTCCAGCAGCATCACACGGAGAGGAGTCAACTCCCCCAGCATCGCAGCAGCTCCGTGCTCATCCAGAGGGAGGATCCCACGATCCCTGAGATCCCCGTGATCCCTGAACCTGATCCCTGTGATCCCTGTGTCCCATTTCTGTGTCCAATCCCCATTATCCCTGTGACCAATCCCTGCTATCCCTGTTTCCAATCCCTGTATCCAATCCCTGTTTCCAATCCCTGTTATCCCTGTATCCAGTCCATTATCCCCATGTCCAATCCCTGTTATCCCTGTTTCCAATCCTTGTTTCCAATCCCTGTTATCCCTGTTTCCAGTCCCTGTTATCCCTGTTTCCAGTCCCTATTATCCCTGTGTCCAACCCCTGCTATCCCTGTTTCCAATCCCTGTATCCAAACCCTGTTTCCAATCCCTGTTAACCCCGTTTCCAATTCCTGTTATCCCTGCTTCCAATCTCTGTGTCCAGTTCCTGTTATCCCTGTATCCAATCCCATTATCCCCATCTCCAATCCCTGTTATCCCTGTTTCCAATCCCTATTTCCAATCCCTATTATTCCTGTGTCCAATCCCTGTTATCCCTGTTTCCAATCCCTGTGTCCAATCCCTATTATTCCTGTTTCCAATCCCTGTTATCCCTGTTTCCAATCCCTGTTATCCCTGTGTCCAATTCCTGTTTCCAATCCCTATTATTCCCATGTCCAATCCCTGTTATCCCTGTGTCCAATCCCTGTTATCCCTGTTTCCAATCCCTGTTTCCAATCCCTGTTATTCCTGTGTCCAATTCCTGTGTCCAATCCCTGCTATCCCTGTGTCCAATCCGTTATCCCTGTGTCCAATCCCTGTTTCCAATCCCTATTATCCCCAAGTCCAATCCCTGTTTCCAATCCCTATTATCCCCGTGTCCAATCCCTGTTTCCAATCCCTATTATCCCCGTGTCCAATCCCTGTTTCCAATCCCTATTATCCCCGTGTCCAATCCCTGTTTCCAATCCCTGTTATCCCCGTGTCCAATCCCTGTTTCCAATCCCCAGAGCCGGAAAGCGCCTCGGGAAGCGGAAGAATTCCCTGGAAGGGGCGCTGGGATCCGGCTAAATGACGGGATAGGAGGCGTAGCTGGCGATGCCGCAGCGGTTGGCAGCGTTCCGGGCCATCCGGATGTATCCCGAGTCTCCAAACCAGACCCCCCAGCTCCGGGAAAACAGGGAAGAAAGACACGGAAAAAACCTCAATTCCGGCTTTTCCCGGGCGGATTCACCGACATCCGGATACGGGAGGGGGGTTGGAGTAGATGGATCCGTGGGGTTCCCGCTCCCGGGAATCGTGGAAGGGGGTTATGGAATTGTGGGATGAGCCAATGGAATCGTGGGATGGGGTTATGGAATCGTGGAAGGGGGTTATGGAATTGTGGGATGAGCCAATGGAATCGTGGGATGGGGTTATGGAATCGTGGAAGGGGGTTATGGAATTGTGGGATGAGCCAATGGAATCGTGGGATGGGGTTATGGAATCGTGGGATGAGTCAATGGAATCATGGAATGGGTTATGGAATTGTGGAATGGGGTTATGGAATCATGGAATGGGTTATGGAATTGTGGAATGGGGTTATGGAATCGTGGGATGAGCCAATGGAATCGTGGAATGAGTCAATGGAATCATGGAATGGGGTTATGGAATCATGGAATGGGTTATGGAATCATGGGATGGGGTTATGGAATCATGGAATGGGTTATGGAATCGTGGGATGAATCAATGGAATCGTGGAATGAGCCAATGGAATCATGGAATGGGGTTATGGAATTGTGGGATGAGTCAATGGAATCATGGAATGGGTTTGGAATTGTGGAATGAGTCAATGGAATCATGGAATGGGTTATGGAATCGTGGGATGAGTCAATGGAATTGTGGAATGGGGTTATGGAATCATGGAATGGGGTTATGGAATCGTAGAATGGGTTATGGAATCGTGGGATGAGCCAATGGAATCATGGAATGAGTCAATGGAATCGTGGAATGAGCCAATGGAATCACGGATCTGGGCAATTCCAAGTATAAAATCACGGAATTCCGGCACGGCTTGGGTTGAGAGGGACATTATGGATCAACATTCCAACCCCCCTTCCGTGTTCCAAGAGGTCAAGGAGCACCTGAGGGACACAGGATGAGGGGGGAGGGAGGGGATTTTGGGGGGACTCTGATCCCTGTGGGTCCCTTCCAACTGGGAATATTCCAGGATTTCTCCCCCCCCTTGGATATTCACCTGTTCTTCACCAGCCAGTATTCCTTGTTTT